GATCAGCTGTCACACCTGGTGACCCTGGGCATATCACAGGGATGCTGAGCGAGGACCTGAGATACGCCAGGTAAATAAAGCACTTGTAGTCTGGAAGCCTCCCATTTCTGCTCTCTGGATTGACTCCCCCCCATGCCCCCCCTCCCCCGTCACACTGTCCGCAGCTGCCAGGCCCCTTGGGGTGGGGAGTGAGGGGGTAGGAGGGGTTGCCTGAGATCGGGTGACGTGGAGCTCACATGACCAGCCTGGCGCCGGCCCTGCGGTCCGGTCCTGGTGCTGCCAGGGTCATTTGCTCCCGTGGCTGGTGTGAAATCAGCTCCCCTGAGCTTCCTGGGCAGCGGGCAACGGGTGAATGGGCTTCTGTGAACTTGAGGTGCTGGCCTGCCCAGGGCCGCAGGTCAGTGTGCAGGTGGGTGCTGCCCACGGCCCGGGTGGGGTAGCAGTAGACGCGGGCAGGATCCACGAGCAGCAGCGGGGCAGGGGGCGGAGGAGAGGAGAAGGGGCACGCGACTCAGGCCTGGGCAGGTGGGGAAAGAGGATCTCGCTGCCTCCTTGCTGCCCCGACTCTGAGCCCTCCATACATTTTCGATCCTGAAATGGGGGGAGGTGGCGCCCCGGCTGTGCGACAGTGAAACAGGCATGTTCTGGAAATAACTTTCCTTTTCACACGCTGCGCCTGTGAAGAAATACTGACTTTTGCAAAAAGGGCTTGGGGGTGGGGCAAATTGCCTGCAGGGGAGGGAGACACAGAGGCCCAAACAGTTTGGAAATCATCCTGGTCTGGTACCTGAGGCCTGAAAACAGATATGGCGACTGTGGTGACGGGGGAGGTAGGGGAGTGAAATGTTGGATGTGGGGCATGTGGATTCAGGAAAGGGTCCTCAGTCCCCTGGGTGTGCAGCCAATGCCCATCTCCTGTCTCTGCAGGTCTGCGTGTCTGTTCCCCGCATTTACAAGACTAGAAAAGGAGAATGAACCTGTCCAGAATCCCTGCAGGTCAGTGAAAGGGGGGTGAGACTTTAGACAGGGACTGGGGGTGAAGTGTGGAGTGGACAGCTTGGGCAGTGCCCATCCCACCTCCACATATAGTGTATACCCCACTACCCTGAAGGATGGTGCAGAGGGTGGTAGGGCCTGCTAGGGAAAAGGTTGGCTCACGTGTGTAGAAGGAATGGTGAGGGAAAGGGTGGCAGAAGGCCAGGTCAGGGAACTCTGACAGTGAGCGAGATGCTAGTACTACCCAGACCCGCGTTCCATATCCCAGCCTTCAGTATTCCTTGTCTCTTTGTCTTTTCTCCACCCCACCGCATCCCACCCCACCCCACTCCCCAGGACGGGGAAAGGAGGGGACATCTCAACATGGAAAAACTGTTCAATGAAAATGAAGGAAAGCTGGAAAATGAGGGAAAGCCAGAAGATGAAGTAGATACAGAAGATGAAGGAAAGTCAGATGAGGAAGAAGAAAAGCCAAAAGTGAAGAGGAAGCCAGAACACAAGGGAAAGCTCCAGGATGAGGGACAAATGATGAAAGGACACAAGAAAAGCAGGGCAAGTCTGAAGATGAGGGAAAAGCACGCGGCGGGGGAAAGCCAGAACCCCAGGCAAAGCCAGAGAGCAAGCCGCGGGCTGCTGAAAAGCGCCAAGCTGAAGATTATGTGCCCCAGAAAGCAAAGCAAAAAACAGACAGGGGGACAGATGATTCCCCCAAGGACTATCAGGAGGACTTACAGGAAAGGCATTTGAGCAGTGAGGAGATGATGAGAGAGTGCGGAGATGTGTCAAGGGCTCAGGAAGAGCTAAGGAAAAAACAGAAAATAGGTGGTTTTCATTGGATGCAGAGAGGTACAGGATCCATTTGCCCCAAAGGGCCAATGGGGTATCAGGGGAGTAAAGGGCAGAGGTAGGGGCCAAAGGGGCTTACATGATATCCCCTATCTTTAATGCCCTTGGACATCAATTCTAATGTCTCTAATGAGAATATTGTGGACCCTGCTTTCCCTGTTAGGCGTTTGCCAGGCCGTGTGCTTTAACCTTAAGTTGATAACTTTGCTTTAGATGTCTCCTTACCAGCAGCCTTTGATCCAACTACAGTGGTCTCTGTTTCAGTAGGGGATTTTCACCCACGTGCATGGAAGAGATGTTCATGGTACTTTGTAATACAATGAAACAGTTTTCAGGACTGCATATACAGTATCAGCCCATTTATGCAAAAATATTAATGTGTGCATAACGCATTTATGTGTAGAAAAAACTCTGAAAGTATGTACAGTAAAAAAGTAGAAGTGATGGTTTTTCCTGCATGGTAACCAAAAGTAGATCTTGCCTGTACTCAGAAATGAGTCCAATCACCTGATGTGAGGTACCCCCATGCCATTCCTTTGCAGGCATGCCCATCCCCATGTCATCCCCTAATTGTAACCATGGCAGTGGGCACCAATGTCCCTTCTGGGTCCTGTGCCATTCTGTGGATCCATGTGTGATTCTTTTTCAACTTTGCTCACTAATCTCCACTTTTTCCTAAAGGATATAGATTGTTATAATAAAAAAGAAATCCAGAAATCAGTACATGGTAAACGACTGAAATGTTCTGCGAGCTTATGATGGCAATGAAGACACTTAAAATTCTTGTCAGAATGTAAAATGGTAAGTAAAACACATTACCTCCTGGGCTCATGGCTAGAGGAATCAACCTGGTGGTTTTAACCACAGATCCAATGCTGTTTCAGTCTTGTCACCTGTGAAATGGGAATAAAACTTGGCTCACAGACTGCTGAGTGGATCAGGTGAGGTATTGAGTATGTGAGCTGTGTCGGGCTGGCTCCTGTGCAATAGTAGGGTCCTGGACCTTGTCAGACACTCAGGGGAGGGCTGTGCTCAGGAATGAGTCCAAACAGCTGAGAAGAGGGTGCCACCTTTCTCTGGATACTACTATATCTGCTGGACACTGTATCCTCTACTGACAGCCGTTGATATGATGGAAAGAGTCCTTCCTCTTGGTGACACAGCCCCTCTGATCCCCTCTACTCCCCAAAGGGCTAAAGCCCCTGTTTGACTCCTATAGGAATGTGGATAAAGTCCATCTCCGAACTTCGGAGTTTGTACCTACCCAGATGGTAATGCCCCAGAGCTGCTTGAGCCCCACTGTATTACATAGTTTTTAACAAAGCAGTCATTAACATTTTTAGTTCATTTTATATTTGTTTATAGTTTCTTTTCTCTTCATAAGACTCAGATATTTTGGGTCCACTGGGGGCTGTCTTGAGACTAATCTATGGACCAGACAATGGATGGTGATTTGAACTGAACACCATACCACAGTACCCCAGGGAAGCCATATCTAAATTTACATGCTTTTCTTAGTGTGAGTTTACTCTCTAAAAAGTCTCCTGGCTGGCTTGCTATACAAAATCAAGGGATTTGCCCACACCTAATTACAGAGAGATAAACAACTGAGTTTCAAGCTGAAAATATCCCTTTCTATTCCAAACCAATTATAACAGAGAAGTGTTCTTAAAAATATTACAAACTCTCAATGGAAGGCATTTTTTATTTAACTAACCAGTATGTCCCATTCTCTAAACAAAAGCTTTTTCTTATTCATCCTGATATCCCTTTACGCTGTACTTGATACATATACTTAATCTCTTACACCATTTATAGATTAGAAGTTTCAATCGTGTTAATATGACAATTCTCTCCAAAACTGACTTATAAATTCAATGCTGTCCCAATAGAAATCCCGGCACACTAGGATTCTAAAGGTTATATGGAAAAAGCAAAGGACCCAGGATAACCAAAATATTTTGAAAATGAAGAACAAGGTGCCTGATTTCAAGACTATAAAGCTATAGTAATCAAGACTGTATAGTATTGGTATATAGAACAATGGAATAAAACAGTCTAGAAACAGGTCCACATGTACACATTCAAGTCATTTTTTTTTAAAAGGTCACAAAGTAATTCAATGGAGAAAGATAGACTTTTCACCAAATGATGCTGGAACAATTGGATGTTGTCTTGGTCAGTTTGGGCTTCTATAACAAAAATACCACAGACTGGGTGGCTTAAGCAACAAACCTTTATTTCTCACAGTTATGGAATCTGGGAAATCCAAGATCAGGGTGCTGGAAGATTTAGTGTCTGGTGAGGACCCAATTCCTGGTTATAAACAGATATCTTCACATGGCAGAAGGGGAAAGGGAGCTCTCTGGAGTCTCTTATAATGGAACTAATCTCATTCATTCATTGAATAGCAAGCCACATTACTTTCTAAATAGCCCATACCTATTCAGATAGTGAGTGTACCCACTGGGGGCATCCATTGTAGAGGAAACTCTCAATAATTGGGAGAAAAAAATTACAATCTCTGTAGATACCAGCTTTTCCTCCAAGTAACCCCAGTGTTTGCTCAATGAGTCCATGTACAAAGTGGCCATGGAAGGAGGAATAGAGGTATGCAAGAGCCCAACGATATTGTCTTCTCTTACCAACCTGATCTGACTACTGTCACAGCTGAGTATGGAACCTGCCAACATCAGAGGCCAATGTTGGGTCCCTAACATGACACCATTTCCAGGGGGTACCAGCCATTCGCTTGGAGAAGGTTGATTACAGTGGACCTCTTCCACTACAGAGAGATAGTGCTTTGTCTTTAAATGGAAATAATTAAACTTTTTTTAACTTGGAGTTTTAATTATGTGCATAAATAGCAATATGAAAATGAGGAGTTCTAAGGCTTGAACATTATCTCTAGGTGAAAGAATTTCAGATTAGTCCCCTTGTAGTATGGCATCACCCAAGATAACAAAGAGGCCTTTAGTATAGTTTTTCCTGAAGAAGAAAGCCAGTTTATTACATTTAGTACTGACTTCTTTGCCATTTTTCTATAGAAATACTGGTTTACTGTAAGAAGTTTGCAATGTTTACCTATAACTGATTAAAACAGGCAGAGCATGGAGTATTCTACTTATTTCTCAGTGAATTCTTCACATTTCCTGGCTTTTGAAAGTTCTTCCACAAATCTTCTATGACTATGTATCCTCATAAACCCCAATCGTATAATTTCTCCGCACTGACCTGGAGAAATATGATGGCTTATTGTGGATGGCTTATTGTGGATGGAGAAATATGATGGCTTATTTAATCCCATAAAGCCAGGTGGACACACCAACTTCTTTATTTTTGAACCTCTAGCCAAAAGGAGTCAAACAATTCCAACAAAATCAATCATACCAAGTCTTGGAAAAAATCCAGGAGGTGCATTTTTAAGATATTCATAGCTGTCCAGCCCCCACTGAACCAAACTTTGCATCCTGGGCTCAGTTTGGGAGTATATTTCCTGATACCAACTTGTATATAGCTTGTAATAATGTTGGAGATGTGAAATGCTTTCTTCATGTTGGGTTCTTGGCTCCTCCACATGTTTAGACCCTCGAGAATGGAGTAGAGTGAAAGCTGATCAACCCTCATGGAAGTTTTGTGAGGTTCTTTCTTTTTCTGTGATGCATAGACTTTGAAGGTGAGCAGACTCAGGCTGGTCGGCCCCATGAACCTCTGAATTACCTTGAACGTGTCACTGGCAGTGGCGGCTCTGGTGAGATCCCATAACCACACTTTTTAAGAGAGCAGTTTTATTGAGCTATAATTTGGATACCAAGAAATTTGGCCCTTGAAAGCAGGAGTCCCCAATCCCTGGGCCACGGACCAGTTAGGAACTGGGCCACACATGTGATCGGCCAGCAAGCGAGTGAAGCTTCATATATATTTTCAGCTGCTCCCTAGCACTAGCATCACTGCTTCAGCTCCATCTCAGATCATCAGGCATTAGATTCTCATAGGAGTACCAGTCCCTGTTGCCAAAAAGGTTGGGGACCACTGCTTTAAACTGTACAATTCAATTGTACTTAGCATATTCGCAGAGTTGTGCAACCATCACCACTATCTAATTTTCGAATATCCTCATCATCCCAAAAGAAACCTTGTACGTTAGCAAACGCTATATATTCCCCTCCACCACTATCCTCCCCATACCCAGTTACTGGCAACCACTAATTTACCTTCCATTTCTATGGCTTTAGCTATTGTAGATATTGCATATAAATGGAATCATATAATATGTAATCTTCTGTGACTAGCTTCTTTCACTCAACAATGTTTTGAAGGTTCATCCATGTTGCAGCATGGATCAGTGCTCCATTCCTTTTTACTGCCTAATATTATTCCATTAAATGGTATACTACATTTATTTATCCATTCGTCAGTTGATAAACATTTGGGTTTTTATTTTGGCTATTATGAATAATGCTGGTATGAATGTCTATATAAAAGTTACTGTTAGAACATGTTTCAATGATTTGGAGTATATATACCTATGAGTAGAAATGCTGTGCCATGGTGCTAACTCTATGTTTAACATTTTGAGGAACTGCCAAATGTTTTTAAAAGTGGCTGCAGCATTTTACGTCTCTGCCAACAATGTATGAGGCTCGAATTTCTTCATATTCTCACCAAGACTTGTTCTTGCCTGTCTTTTTAAAAATCTATCCTGGTGAATGTGAAGTGCTATCTCACTGAGGTGTGATCTGCATTTCCATAATGAGTAATGATATTGAATATCTTTTCATGGGTATAGAGACCATTCGTATATCTTCTTTAGAGAAATGTCTATTCAAAACATTTGCCCGTTTTAGAATTAGGTTATCTTTTTACTGTTAACTCATAAGAGACCATGATATATTCTGAGTATATGTCCCTTATTGGATATATGATTTGCAAATATTTTCTCCCATTCTGTGGGTTGTTTTTTAACTTCCTGGATGGTATCCTTTGAAGCACAGTTTTTAATTTTGATTAAGTTCAATTCATCTGTTTTTTCATTGACTATGTTTTTGGTGTCATCTCTAAGAAACCATTTCCTAACTTATGGTAACAAATATTTACTACTATTTTTATTTCTAAGAGTTTTATAGGATTAGCTCTTGCACTTAGAACTGATTCATTTTGAGTTTTTATATCATGTGAAGTAAGGGTTCAAATTAATTCTTTTGAATGTAGACATCCAGTCGACCCAGCACCATTTCTTGAAAAACTATTCTTTGGTCAAAAATGCATTAACCATAAATGTGAGGGTTTAGTTTTAGACCCTCAATTATGTTTTATTGATCTATATGTCTATCCTTATGCAAGTATCACACTGTCTTGATTACTGTAGCTTTGTAATAAATTTGGAAATAGAGAACTGTGAGGCCTCCAACTTTCTACTTCTTTTTCAAGATTATTTTGGCTATTCTGGGTACTTTGTATGTCCATAAGGATTTTGGGATCAGCTTGTCAAGTTCTGAAAAGATATTAGCTGAAATTTTGATAGGCATTGCAATGAATCTTCAGGTCAGTTTGGGAGGTATTACCAAATTAACAATATCAAGTCTTCCAATTCATGAACACAGGATATCTTTACATTTATTTAGGTCTTCTTTAATTTCTTTAAACAATGTTCATTATTTTTCAGTGTACAATTTTTGCACTTCTTTAGTTAAATTTATTCTCAAGTATTTTATTCTTTT